CGCCGCCCTGGCTCCTCCACCACCACCACCACCTCTGTGCTGGTCGCTGGCATTGTCTGACCAAACCAACTCCACTTTCTTCACGCCATGTATTCATCACCACCTCCGTGCTGGTCGCTGGCATTGTCTGACCAAACCAACTCCACTTTCTTCACGCCATGTATTCATCATGTGATCAAAAAAACATAAGGCTGTCTACTTTCACCAGCTCTACGTAACATTGTAGTAGAGGTTCTAATCAGGGTACTTAGGCCAAAAATAAATGAATAAAAATAAAAGACATCAAAATTTTAAAAAGACTATCTCTATGCTCAGATAACATGATACTATATATGAATAATGGTAAGAAATCCAATAAAAAGCTACTAGAACTAGAAATCTAATAAATGAGTCCATCAAAGTTGTAGGATAACAGATCAACATATAAGACTCAACCACATTTATGTATACCAGCAATGAACAACCTGAAAATGAAATTAAGAAAACATTTTCCTTTAAAATTGCATTAAAAAGAATAAAGTTAGGGATAAACATAATAGTGCAAAACTTATACTCTGGAAACTGTAAAGCACTGTTGAAAACTTTTAAAAATCTAAATTAATGGAAATATAGCAAATTGATCTACCCACTTAATGCAATCTTTATTAGAGATCCTGCTGATTTATTTGCAGAAATTGACAAGCTGAATCTAGAATTCATTTGAGATTGCGAGGAACCCTTAATAGCCCAAACAATGTTGAAACAGTACAATGCAGAAGGATGTACATGTCCTGAATTCAAAACTTACTACAATAACATGACATAGTGGTACTGGCATGAGTATAGACATAAAGAACACTGGAATAGAATCGAGATTCCAAAACTAAACTCACGCATACATGGCTACTAAATCTTCAAAAAGGGCGCCAAAGCCATTCAATGGGGGAAAATATTCTTGAACAAATGGTGCTGGACGCCTGGATAGCCACATGGAAAATACTGAATTTGAATCTTATTTCACACAATATGAAAAGTAACTCAAAATCGACAAAAAACTAAATAAAAGAGGTAAAACTGCACAATTCTTAACAAAAACGGAGTAAATTTCCATCACCTTGTTTTGACTCTTAGATATGATACCATATTGGATTTTTAGATATGACACCAAAAGCACAAGCAACAAAGGGAAAATAGACAAACTGGGTCTCAGTTTGGATAAATGGAAAATGGATAAATGGATAATTATGGATACTTTAAAGTAAATTTATGTATATTATGGATTAAGAAATGGATACATAAATATCTCTCTATATAATGTTATACATATAATTAGTGGTATATCAGCAATATTTGCAGTAGCTGAATGGTAAAAACAACCTACATTTCTATCAACTAATAAATGGATAAACACTGAAAAATCGATGAGATAAATATAAATGCTTATAGGTAAATACACACATATTCGTATATGTATATGTATATATATATATATATATACACACACACACACGTGAGTACTTCAAAAAAGTTCATGGAAAAATAAAAGTAAAAGATAATATAAATACTTCCTTGAACTTTATGAAGTTCCCTCATACACGTGTGTATATATATATATACACTCACGATATACATGGACACGTGAGCACCCATGTATATGTAATGTTATTTAGACATAAAAATAAATGAAGTACTGACACGCGCTGAAAACATTATGTAAAGTGAAAGAGGCCAGACACCAAAGATCACTTACTTTTATGAAATCTGCAGAATGAGGAAATCCTCAGAGCCAGAAAGCACATGGCAGGTCGCTAGTTGTTGGGTGGAGGTGGGGATGGGCTCTAACAGCTTAATCATCTTGACGTTTTCTTTCAGGGTCATGAAAACAACCCCCACAAAAACACAGGCACCGAGGGTGAAGGTCCACTGAAAGTACCATTGGTGGAGCCTCTTCACCTTTTGTTTTCTGATTGGTTGGTAACAGCAGTGAAACTATCCAATCAGAACGCGTCTTCCAGGAGCCCTCATTTGAATACAGAGTCTATAAATGGGCTGCGCAAGCCCACAGTGGCGTTTTCTCTTCTGTGGAGGTGGATTCGAGTCTGGGTTCTGCTGCAGGTCTTTGCTGGTCTCTGCTGTTTTCCCTGAGGTGTCTTCCCCAGTTCCAGGACAGGGAGTTGAGAAGCAACGGGGAAAGCTGCTCCGCAGACGTGTCTGAAGGAGAGGAGCAGGTTCCCCGGAGGTGGAGAAGTTTGCTGGGTCCACGGGCTTCTCCATCCTCCTTGGACGCCTCAGGCGTGGCGAGTCCCCTGGTTTAACCGATGTGAGCGAGTTGGTCGGGGAATAGCAGAAAGCCGGGTAAGTCCATCCCTGACGTCCAGAGAGCAGCCGCAACCCCTGCCCCGTTGAAGCGTTGAAGCCGCTGCTGGCTGCCGGGGGCACGGAGAGGGGCGCGCCGGGGGCGCGGCTTATACTCTGGAAACTGTAAAGCACTGTTGAAAACTTTTAAAAATCTAAATTAATGGAAATATAGCAAATTGATCTACCCACTTAATGCAATCTTTATTAGAGATCCTGCTGATTTATTTGCAGAAATTGACAAGCTGAATCTAGAATTCATTTGAGATTGCGAGGAACCCTTAATAGCCCAAACAATGTTGAAACAGTACAATGCAGAAGGATGTACATGTCCTGAATTCAAAACTTACTACAATAACATGACATAGTGGTACTGGCATGAGTATAGACATAAAGAACACTGGAATAGAATCGAGATTCCAAAACTAAACTCACGCATACATGGCTACTAAATCTTCAAAAAGGGCGCCAAAGCCATTCAATGGGGGAAAATATTCTTGAACAAATGGTGCTGGACGCCTGGATAGCCACATGGAAAATACTGAATTTGAATCTTATTTCACACAATATGAAAAGTAACTCAAAATCGACAAAAAACTAAATAAAAGAGGTAAAACTGCACAATTCTTAACAAAAACGGAGTAAATTTCCATCACCTTGTTTTGACTCTTAGATATGATACCATATTGGATTTTTAGATATGACACCAAAAGCACAAGCAACAAAGGGAAAATAGACAAACTGGGTCTCAGTTTGGATAAATGGAAAATGGATAAATGGATAATTATGGATACTTTAAAGTAAATTTATGTATATTATGGATTAAGAAATGGATACATAAATATCTCTCTATATAATGTTATACATATAATTAGTGGTATATCAGCAATATTTGCAGTAGCTGAATGGTAAAAACAACCTACATTTCTATCAACTAATAAATGGATAAACACTGAAAAATCGATGAGATAAATATAAATGCTTATAGGTAAATACACACATATTCGTATATGTATATGTATATATATATATATATATTTTTGTTTTTGTCTTTGTTGTGCATGTTCATGGGATACGAAGCTCACCGTCACCTCGTGTGGCCAAGATGTGATGATCAGATCAGAACCGTCAGCATGCCCATTACCACCAATTGCAATTATTCTCCATGTCCCCAGCCAAAGCTCTCCCTGCCTACCTTCCCGTCTCCACCCCTAGGCAACCCTAGATTTGTTCTCTCTCTCCGGAAGTCCAATGCACCACTCTGTTCTTTTTGTTAGCTCCCACTTAAGAGTGAGGACGTGCAGTATTTTTCCCTGTGTGCCTGTTTTATTTCACTTAATATAGTTTTTTTCCAAGCTCATCAATTTTGTTGTGAATGGTAGAATATCAATCCATTTCATCTCTTAGTGCTATTCCGTTGTGTATATATACCACATTTTCCTTATCCATTTGTTCCTGTTGAACATTTCGGTGAGTTCCATTTCTTGGCTGTTGTAAGCATAGCTGCAGTAAATATGGAAGTGCATGTATCTCAGCAACATGATGATTTCCATTCCTTTGTGTATATACTCAGACGTGGAATTTCTGGATCCTATGATAGATCTATCTGTAATTGTTTGATAAATCTTTATAACTGCTTTCCACAGTGGCTGTACTTACTTATAGTCCCACATCAGGGTAAAAGAGTACCCATTTCTCCACATCCTCCCCAGCATTTTATATTCTGTCTTTTTTATTATAACTCGTTTAACTGAGGTAAGATATCTCATAAGGTTTTACCTTGCATTTCCCAGATGATTAGTGATGTTGAGCATTGTTTGAAGTACCTGTTGGTCATTTGTATGTCTTCCTTCGAAAAACGTTTCAGCTCCTTTGCTGAGTTTTTAATCAGGTTATTTGTTTTTATTTACTGTGTAGTTGTTTGAGTTTTTTGTATATTCCAGACGTAGATACCTTGTCAGATGTATAGATTGCAAATTGTTTCTCCCATTTTGTAGGTTGTTTTTTTATTCTGTTGATTGTTTTCTTTGCTCTGCAGAAGCTTTTTAGATAGACTCCCATCAGTTTATATTTTTCTTTTGATTTGATGCTTGTGCTTTCAAGGTCTTATTCATAAAGTCTTTGCCCACTCCTACCTCTTGAAATGTTTGCCCTGTTTTCTTTTAGTAGATGATGGAGTTTGGATGTATTGTCCTCCCAGAAATCATGTGGTAATTTGATCCCCAATGTGGCAGTGTTAGGAGCTGTTTGAGTCATGGGGGGTGGATCCCTCATGAATAGATTAATGTATTGAGTTCTCCCTTTATTACTTCCAGGGATAGCTGGTTGTTTGAAATAGACCCTGGCACCTCCCGTCTCTCTCTCTCTTGCTTCCTCTCACAATGTGATCTGCTTGTACCTGCCTGCTACTTTCCACCATGAGTAGAAGTAGCCTGACGCTGGACCAGATGCAGCTGTCCCAGAATCGTAAGCCAAATAAACCTCTTGTGCTTCATAAATTACCCAATCTCCGGTATTCCTTTATAGCAACACAAAATGGACTAATATAGTAGCTATATATTTTTAAGACAGGTATTTAAGTCCTTAATTTTGAGTTGATTTTGGTATGTGGCAAGAGTTATAGGTTTGGTTTCTCTTTTACAGGTGGATGTGCAGTTTTCCCAGCACCTTTTATTGAAGAGGCACTATTTTCCCTAATGTGTGTTTTTAGTGCCTTTGTCAAAGAACAGTTGACTGTAAGCATATGGGTTGATTTTTGGGTTCTCTATTCTGTTCTATTAGTCCAAGTGTCTATTTCTATGCCAGTGCTGTGCAATTTTGGCTACTATAGCTTTGTATTGTAATTTGAAGTCAGGTAGCATTATGCTTCCAGCTTTATAATTTATTTATTAAGCTCATGATTCTTCTGGCTATTTGGGATTTTATATTGTTTAATACGATTTAGGGTTTGTTGTTGTTTCCTATTTCTGTGAGGAATGTGACTGATATTTTGATGGGGATTGCACTGAATCTGAAGATCACTTTGGGTCATATGGACATTTTTGCTATTTTGATTCTTCCAATCTAAGTATGGAATGACTTTCTGCAATTTTGTGTTGTCTTTAATTTCTTTCACTAGTCATTTGTAGTTATTTTCCTAGAGATCTTTTACCTCAGTGAAATTGATTCCTTGCTACTTTATTTTTTGGGTGACTATTGACAATGGGCTTGCTTTGATTTACTTTTCCACTAGTTCATTATTAGAGAATAAAAATGCTACTGAGTTTTGGGTATTGATTTTGTATCCTGCAATGTCACTGAAATTGTTAATCAGCTGCAAGAGTTTTTTGGTAACGAATTAGGTTTTTCTGTATATAGGATCATATCATCTGCAGATAGGGACATTTTAACTTCATCGTTTCCAATTTGGACACCCTTTATTTCTTTCTCTTGCTTGATTGCTCTGGCTAGTAATTCCAATATTCTGTTAAATAGGAGTGGTGAGAGTGGGCATCTTGGTATCAAAGTGATGCTGGCCTCATAGAATGAGTTTTTGAGAATAGCCTCCATTTCAGTTTTTGGAAGAGTTTGAAGAGAATTGGTGTTATTTCCTTTTTAAATGTTTACTGGACTTCATCAGTAAAGTCATCTGGTCCTGGGCTTTTCTTTGTTGAGAGACTGCTGATTACTGCTTCAATTTTGTTGCTTATTATTGGACTGTTCAGGTTCTCTGTGTTTTCTTGGTTCAGTCTTGGTAGTTGGTATGTGTCCAGAAATTTATCCATTTCTTCTAGGTTTTCAATTTTATTGGTGTATGGCTGTTTTTAATAGTCTCTAATGATTCTTTGTATTTCTTTGGCATGAGTTGTAATATCTTTTTCTTTTCTTATTTTTGTTGAATCTTTTCTTCTTTTTTTTAGTTTCTCTAGCTAATACTTTGTCTATTTTGTTTATCTAGTCAAAAATCCAATGTTTTGTTTCTTTGGTCTTTCATATTATATTTTGGGTCTCTAATGTAGTTCTTCTCTGATCTTATATATATTTTCATCTACTAACTTTGGGATTGCATCATTCTTGTTTTTCTAGTTAAGTATTTGAAGTCTTTCTGTTCTGATGTAAGCATTTATTATGATAAACTTCTCTGTTGATAGTGCTTTTTCAGTATCCCACAGGTTTGGTGTGGTGTGTCTTTATTTTTATTGGTTTCAAGTAAATTTTTGCTTTCCTGTTTAATTTCTTATACCCATATGTTCAGGAGCATGCTGTTTATTTTTGATGTATATTTTTCAGTTTCACTTATTATTTATTTCTAATGTTAATCTGTTGTGGTCTGAGTAGATACTTCAAATATTTCAATTTTTAAAAAATTTATTGAGATTTGGTTTGTTACTGAACATGTGGTCTATCCTGGAGAATGTTCAATGTGCTGATGAGAAGAATGTATATTCTGTGGTTGTTGGATGAAATGTTCTGCAGATATCTGCCAGACCCAATTGGTCTAAAGTGTGGTTTAAATCCTGAATTGCTCCATTGATTTTTTTGCTTAGATGATCAGTTCAATATTGATAGGGTGGTTCAAGTCTTCCACATTCTGGTATTTGGGTTTATCTCTTTCTTTAGATCTAATAGTGTTTGCTTTATGTATCTGGGTACTCTGGTGTTGGATGCATATCTATTTATGACTTTTATGTCTTCTTGCTGGATATATCCCTATATCTGGTTGTGTGGTGTGAACTCTCACAATTTTTGTTTGTCTGGGAAATATAGTATTTCTTTCTCTTTTCTAGAGGATCACCTTGGTGGGTATAAGTATTCTTGTGGCAATTTTTTTTCTTTTAATATTTTTAATAATATCATTCCATTTTCTTCTGGCCTTTAGCTTTTCTGATGAGAAGCCTGCTGTTAGTCTGATGGGAGTTCCCTTATAGGTGACTTGATGCTTTTCTCTTGATGCTTTTAAAATTCTCTCTCTGTTTTTGAGCTGTGCCAATTTGAATAAAATGTCTCCTAGAGGACCTTTTTGGATTGAATCTGTTTGGGGATCTTTGAGTGGCGTTGGCTGGAGCTGGGCATTTCCCTGCTTTGGGCCTCCCTGTCATGGCACCTTTGATTTTCCTGCTTCCTGCATGGATGGGGGTGGCGCTCTTCCCTTCATCTGGAGTGTGGTTAGTTATTTGTTTTACAAATTTTAACATACACATCTAGCACCCTGACTTAGAAGGCTTTGTCTACCCTGGGGTCCCAGGATCCTCTTTCAAACATGTGATATCCACTCTGTTAATATTCACATGTGCTGTTCTGCTGTCTTTGTGTGCACATCTGCAGGGACACTCAATGATTCACTCATTCCATGGATGATAAGATGAATAATTTACCAACTGCTGGAGTGTCGTGCATCATCCATGCAGATCTCCCAATACCTGCAGGTAACAGAGGCTGTGGTGCAGCCACCTGGGCCTCCCATAACAGAGCATATGAAGCTGTGGCAAAAGGATTAAGAATGTTTTCATATTTTATTTACACAAAATTTTTCTGATTTATCATGTTTGATGCATATATAATTACCATTTGTATGTATGTGCATGCATAACATGTTAATGTTATTTGATTAATTCTGTGTTGCTGATTTCTTAACTTAATTCTATTACTCTTCTCGGTTTTAAAATCTGTTCTAAGGTCATCTTGCATACTAGCATGTACGTTACTTTGAGATAAATTCTAGGACAGATTAACTTGGATTAAACCCATGCTCTATTGTTTACAGGGTATTTGATAAAACATTTTCATAAAAAAAGCAAGATTTATGTATTTGCTCTCAGATTATTTTTGTGGTTTTATGTATTAATATATTTTTTAAAGTGCTAGAATGACATCCTGTGTATAGTCAGTGTTCAAAAAGAACAACACTTTTGAAGAAGAACAACAATGCTATTGTTACTATTATATTAAAGCCGGCATGCATATCACATGCAATCCATTCAATTCAAAGTCATCCATGAATCCTTTCTTCAGTGTTCTACTTCTGTGCTACTCAAAAGTTTGGTATTTGGACTAAAGGCATTGGCATCACTTGAACTTGTTAGAAATGCTGACACTCAGGCCCAACCACAGACCTCTTTGAATCAGAATTTGCATTCTATCAAGATTTCCAGTTCATTGTTACACACATGAAATTTTGAGAAGTATACTTCTTATTCACCATGACTTTTTCTTCTAAGAAATATGCATAACTTATTCTAAATGAAATAAATATGAAACTCCAAATGTATATTCCTGTACTGATGCTTTAATTTTACATGTTTTATCCCATAAAATCACAGTGTCTACACTGGTTATGTAAATATTATGTCATTGTTTTTGCACAGAGTTAGAAAATGCATTAGGGAATATTACGATGTTGACCAGTATCTTATTGGATCGTTCAGGTCACTCATGTGAGTCAAAACCTGTTTTCCTAACTCTGTAATTTTGTCTTGGGTCAAATGAAGAACTCTGCCCATGGTCACATGGTCGTTGTGTTATTCATTTATTTACTTTTATTTCAGGGACTGTCAACGTTTGGAGATGTGGCTGTAGAATTATCTCCAAAGGAATGGGAATGCCTGGACCCTGAGGCGTAGTGGAATTTTATATAGAGATGTGATGTTAGAGAACTACAGAAACCTGGTCTCCCTGGGTGAGGATAACTCCCATTCAGAATTCCCTATCCACACCAAGGTTTTCATTTCCTTTCTGTGTAGAATGTCTCTTGAGAGATTGTGCTTTGCATATATGCATTTAAGATTTCTGTTTTCAAGAAAAAAAAAGTTGGGTTTTGTTGGTGGAAAAGAAAACCTTCATGATGTTTCATCTTGACATGAGTCTTCCCCTTTTTGAGGTGATCTTTATCCTTCACTCTAATTTAGTAACAATTCTAGAAATTCAGTGGCATAAAATATTGTTGCTGACACCTTAAAATGCATTTCCCCCTTTAGTATTTGATTCAGTACTAATTGGAAGTGGAGGTCAAGATCCACAAATTTGAAATGCTTTCAAAATATTCTAATGGGTGTGCCATGAAAGTATTTGAGGATATAGTTTTTTACAATCTTTCAGAGTGTTCTCTGTTCTCCACTGAGCACAGAATTAGGTAGATTAAAAAATTCTCATCAAGAGTCATTTGACTTTTTCTGGTAAAACAGGTCTTCCTGTCTCTAAGCCAGACCTGGTCACATTTTTGGAACAAAGGAAAGAATCCAGAAATATACAGAGAGAAATTGACTGTAGCCAAACACCCAGGTAGGTGAGAATACATGAGCAGATAACACAGGTCAGGAGAGGTCTGAAGGTCAAAGAAGAAACCAGACCTTAAAGTGTGAATTGGGAAGATCTGCTCCAGTGAAAATAATTTTGGGGAAGCCTAGGTTTATTTCTCTTGTTCTCATCAGAGGTACATCTTCTATTTAGAGCTCTTAACATTTTCTGGTTATTTTTCTTCCCCTTCAGTTATCTTCTTTCAATTGATAGTGAGGGCCAAAGCTTTCCTTGTGGTCTCACAATCTTGACTGCTCTTCTATTGATTATGCAGACAGACCTGGGTAAATCTGGGCATACGTCTGAGGATCTCTGTGTTAAGTCATTTTAAGTTCTTTTTCGTCTCGTGTCAGAAGTGTGTGACAGGTGTGGTGAACATATTGGGATTTGGTTGAAAAATCCTAGTAACAGTGTAGACAGATGTCACATATTTCCAGTCCTATGAAGGTTTCAAAGGCAATTCTACAGAAATTCAGACTCAGTAATTTCATCTTAGCACAAAGCATCTCCCTAAATAGAGGAAAATCTAACCCTATATTTCACCTCAATATTTTCTTTTTGGCTAGCCTAAACTAAGAAATTTAAACAAATTCTGCCACCATGAAGTAGTTTAGTGTATTTCTTAAAATATTTTCTTTTTGGCTAGCCTAAACTAAGAAATTTAAACAAATTCTGCCACCATGAAGTAGTTTAGTGTATTTCTTAATATAGAGAATTCTTAACTAATGTCCATGGGAGCTTAGAACATTGGCTAGCATGTAGTAAACTTTTGATTGTTGCTTTACATCTTATCAGTGTATAATTTTGTCTGATTTAGTATGAAGCTTACTGAGAATGTGTCCTTTGTTCTTTCTTGTTTGCCTTTCTCCTCCCTTCTTCCCTTCCCCCCCTTTCTTTGTGACATCTGGATTTTTTTTTTGCAAATATAGTATATATTTAAGGTGTGCATCTTTATGATTTGACGTAAGTATACATTGTGTAATGACCAACATAACCATGTTAACTAACACGGTCATCATCTCACACAGTACCATATCTTTTTTGTGGTGAAAACACAATGCGCTTTCTTAAAAAATCCCAAGTATACGATACATAGTTAACTATAGTCACAATGTTTACATTAGATCCCCCAAATTTATCTTGTAACTGAAAGTTTATACCCTTTGATCAACATCTTTCCATCTCACTACCCCTTGCTGTCAGCACCCACCATTCTGTTTTAACTCTTACCTTCTTTTTTTAGATTTTACATGTAACTTACATCAAAATATTTGTTTTTTTTTT